CATTTCCTCCACAGCATTTACAAGCCTTAATTCCCAAAACAGAGAGTATCACCAACAAATACAAACAAGACAAAACCCGTAGGTGGACAGGCCAAAGGATTCCCACTAATTATGATTTGGTGCCTTTGCAGAACCACCCAAGCATGGACATGTGACACCCAGTCTGAAAAAAGCACTGAAAACAGGGCCTCGAAAGAGATGCCAGGGATGTCTGCTGGCCCCAGAACCTTGTTAACTAACATCATTTCTTGCTGATCATACTGCTGCATTCAAGGAAGCAGGACTTTGTAATTAAAACCAGAATGTAATTCAACCTCTGGCTTTTGTGTCAAATTCTTCTAGATTGAGCAAGAAATTAAAATCTTGGCTAAGTGCTCAGGTGAAAAGGGTCACAGTATTAAAAAAAAGACAAACCTAACACAAAATTTAGGGCATCACATGATTTCTGCCAAGTTTTACTTCTACCATTATTCCTAAAGACTCACAGAAATTTATCGATATACTTATTGTCCCTTAGAATTGGATTAGGAAGAATCTAACAAAGCCAAATGACAGAAGAGGAATACAGAGCCTTAAAAAAAAAAAAATCAAAACAATACTCTCAGATCTCAATAAGCCTAGAAAGGCAGCATCATTTACACATTTTAATTATGTAGTGCTTGAAAAAAAAAAACACGACGACTTATCTTTGCTAGGTAATACCTTGTTCTCAATTCTTTTTAAATTGTTTTGCCCGATTAGTATTTTAGACACATTTGCTATATGGAGAAATGAATTTAAATCAAAACACAATCAATCACTCTAGTTGTGATCCCACCTGGTCTCCAGGGTCTACAGCATCACTTCTAATGAACTTGGCAGCTGAATATTCTTCAAATATCATTTTAGGAAGGAAAAATTGTTACACTTAGCCTGTGCTAAATTAATTACAAGCAGAATCCTTACTTAAGAGGGGAGGGTGTTTACATGTATTTTAAGTGAGCTATCTTAAACAGGATCACAACAGAGACAAGGCACTTAATTCACCACGAAAGTAACTAGACAGTGCCAGCTAGACTACAGGTCCAGAGTTTGTGGCATCCCTTTTACCTTACAGCATTTCTCTTTCATGAATTCAGGGATAGGAAAGCCACATCTTTAACAGGAACCAAGACAAAGGATATAAAAGTTTGTTTTTAAAAAGTATTATTAAAATAAACTGCAATCCTCACTCAAGCTTTGTGGTTCTGTTTTTTGGGTTGGCAGCTGATGGGGGCGGGAAGGGGTGGGTGGATACAGACACAGAGATGACCAGTAGGGGATGGAGATGAAGGAGAGGAAGATTCACCAAATCAACATGTTTGAGGAAAAAACTGCCCAGTTCCAGATTTTAGAAAATCTGGAAAAATGTGCCAAAATTATGAAAGTGGAAGTTTATTTCTGAATCATTTTTTTGTTGCTTTTGTAAAGCAGAATTTATAATACTTTTTGTGGGAAAAAATTAAGCAGAAAATATTTTTACTCATCCAGTTATTTTACCTCCAAATTCTCATTTTACTGAAATTGAGGTTTTATTCTCATGTGACAACACCTTGAACAGCATAATTTTTAAGCTGCTGTTTACAATCTATCAAAAAGTTCACTGTTTGTACAACACTTGTATAAACATGGATTAAAATATATACAATTCTACTGCTCATTAAGTGTTGTCTCAAAGTCCACAATACAAAACACACTTTTATCTTCTTAAGTTGCACTATGGTGCTAGAGATGCAACATCCAGTTTGTCCTTTGAACAGTTTACTACTGCTTTTCTTGGAGCTACTCTCTACTTAAGTGAATATTGCTAAAAATATAGTATTTAAAATATACCATGGATATAGTCCTTTTTTTTGTGCGTATATAGATCTTTTGCCACCTTCTGTTATAGTAAGTATTCACTATAACTAGTGAATGCTGTGAGAGAAATTTACTTATATCTTGGCTTTCAAAGAAAACGTAGATAGACTAAACTGATAAAGCAATTGTTTCTTAATCTCTTCCATGGCAGAGAATTAGTTTCTCTCAATTCCAAAGTAAATTGAGCATTCTTTGTATCTGATGTTTAAGTACCTGCAGATTTAACAGTTCTTCCCACTACAGAAGGAAAGGGATTTAGTACAAGCACTGTACGGGAGAGAAGGCTGTACTAGCTGAAGAGATTTGTCTCAGCAATCAAGCTTTTCTGTATACCATGCAATAGATTGTGTTTGGTGTCATTTATTTTGAGCAAACTTTGAACATCTGCAAGCAACTTGAGTCTCTCTCTCTCTCACAGATTTTTACACTCCCCTCTTTCAGACCAGAGCTGTTCATTTACTGCTATGGAAATTAGCCGGCATGTCAATAAAACCTAAATGAAAAACAAACCCCCAAAAACCAAACAACATTTTCAATAGAATGTCAGTTCTGATTCTTTCCCAATTTTGTTTGGGACCCGTACACACAAAAAAGAGGAAAAAAAACCCTAACAAACCATTTTTTCATCAGTCCTGAGCAACTCAGAATAAACATGATTGTTATAGCTTTTAAGCCTTAAAATTTGACTATAAATACACACAGAATATTCTAATGTTTCAGATATTAGGACTAAAGAAGCCCTTAATGACTAAAAACAGTTCACGGCACAGCGTGCTGTGCTTGAAGGGGAAGGAGGTTTTCCCTAGAAGTTTAAAAAAGGAAACCCAAATTTGTTGTTGCATTTCACTAGAGGGCAGGGCATGGGGAGCGACATAGAAGGGCCCCTCAGTCATCCAGAGCATTATTTTTTATTCATCAGTAGAGCATTGATTCAATTTCTCCGGTCTCTGCTATTTCCTAATCTCTTCTCTCCCCCTCACAGCTCTTTCCACTCCCCCTTTCCAGCATTCACTCTATTCCGATCACATAGGATGAAAAGCAATTATGCAGCGGTGTCCCTCCCCAACGAGTACAGGCACATATCACTGACTGAACAGACCCGTGAAGGAAGTTCTTCAGTTCTGAATAAATGCTTAACATTGCCAAGTGCTACCCAGAAAGCAGCTTGCTGTTTCTTTCATTTACAAATCCTTCCAAAACACTCAGTACCAGCACCGCTTTCTTTCCCAATAGGAAGAACCTGCCTCTGCTTGGAACAGCGAAAGGTCCATAACTGCATTCAATTTATTTTCTCACTAGAGAAGTTGGCACCACACACTTGTTGATTATACATAAGCATAAAATGAAATAAAGTGTGAAACACCATTGTATTGATATTAAAGCTTTAAGATTATCTGAAATAGAATTTATTTGAATATGAATTTAAAGATTAATAGGAAGCAACTCAAACAGGAAATTATTATTAGACACACTAAAATGCATTTGTCATAATAATTAAAATCACAATTCAAAAAATGCCCCCTGAATTAATCAGTTCCAAATAAAAAGTAAATAAAGAACAGCTCATCCTGTTAAGTAACATTGTGCATAAGTCACTTATTACACTGGTCACTCAGTTTAATTGAAATTGTGAGTTACTGTGCAAGAGTTTCCATTAAACAGTTGACCTGTGCTATGTAATATTACTTCTGCAATAGAGACCTTCTTAAACAGTTACAACCCCCATAAGCTATGAAACTGTCAGCCCCAAGAGTACAGCCTACAAGTACAAGAAGAAAAATCATCTTTGGCAATTAACTGAACATATGTAATTCTGATCCAAGGTTTAAGGACATCTGCAATGTAAGCATATCAAGTTAATTGCAATTTGATGCAAGTGAGGGAGAAAAACAGGGGAAAAAACAGTAAACTGAACTTGCAGCACACAAAACCTAACAACTAATAGATTAACAAGAGACCAGAACTCTACTGTCGCCAAGTAGAGAGTAGATGAGCCACCAAAGGAATCACTCAAGTGTAACCTTGAAAGGGTTAAACCAGAACTTTGTAATTGATAAGAAGGGCAAACAAGATTATCATGCATCTCAAGGGGGAAAAAAAAACAAATTTATCATAGAACAAGAGGTGACTGACACTGTATAGAATTTATTAAGAAATGCTTTAAGCAGATTGTGAGGTTGTGCAAAACTTATTGTGGGATGTTTAGGGGAAGAATCAAAGACAAGGAAAGGGAGGAATCAAGGTGGTTCAGGGATGAACAAACATAGGAAGAACGGGAGAAGGAGACTGAAATAAGCTAGCTGCCTGTGCCTGTTTCTCCATTTAAACCACTGAAATATTCAGCATACGAATAAATCCCCTCGCCCCCAATACCTCAGAGAATACAAAGTAAACAGTATTAAATGCTAATCATCATCTGGCATTAACATGTGGTTTTACACACACTACATTTATACTAGTTAATTAAGCGCGCCCAAACTGGGTCCCTAAAACTGCCTACTGAAAATGATCCCTGCTCTGCATTAACTGTTGATCTACCTCTGGAAGCTCTTTCGAATGGAGTTAGTTGTCCTGGGGCAAAACTTTTGCTACATTTCAACAATCTGACAGTTTGACAATAAATTTCCAGAGCGTACAAGTTTTCTTCAGCTTTTCTTGTTCTTTTTTTTATTTTAAAAAATATAATATATGATGTATGTAATTTATATTATATATGAATATAATACATAATATGAAAACACAAATCTATTTTATAGTATATATAATATATAATTAAATATATTCCTATATAATAAATATTTAAATAGGTATCTATATACAATAATATTTGAATCTACTTTAAAATAAAAATGATATATAACTACATAATTATAATACATACAATGCACATAGTATATAATATGTATTTATGTAGCCATAGATGACAAAAGAATAACAAACCATAAATACTATTATTTAGTGTTAGATTTTAAGTATTTAGCAAAATAAAAGAATTTAACTCAGCATATCATAACTGTTGAACAACCCAAATGACTTTTCCAGTTTGGCGAATAGTGTACTTTTAATAGAACTGGTAAGAAATAATTACCACTAACACACTTGAAGTGACATTTTATACTTACTTTGCATAGTCAAAGAGCCTGCTGTCCCAGAGCCGATGAGTTCCTTTAGGACCGGAATGGAAGAAACAAGAATCTGTACCATCAAATTCGTTGAGACCATCTTCAGAGTTTTTTGACGCATGGCTGTGCACAACATCCAGCAGAACAGTGATGCCCATTGAGTGAGCAACGTCAATCATTTCTTTCAGGTCATCTGGAGTTCCATAACGGCTATCAGCATGAAAATGCAATGTGTTATGAGTGATACAATATGACCTTAAGCTGACAATACTGAACATTACTTATAAAAACTACACCAAAGTCAGAAGTTCTTCATCACCCAGTTTCCAGTTGTATACAGGTTATTTTTTCAGCCTCTTAAGTAGTAGCTATTGATTACAAACTGACAATTAAAACAACTTCTTTATTATAAAAATTGCATGCAATGTTTTGCAAAAATCATTTCAAAGTTTTATTCTTCTCTTTTAATCTGTTAATACATCAAATTCAGTATAAAAGATAACTGATACGACTTAAAGCTTCTATTTAATATTGAACACTTCCTTACTTTGTAAGAGACAAGAATATATTTATATTACCGTAATAAAGTAATTCTGATGACCACAAAAGTAAATGTACATTCATGAAAGTCCCCAAAATACACCATCTGCCGCTGTCCTGCTTAATTATTTGTTTTAGGTACTACACTATTTTCCAACTTGTTTTTAAATAAAGATTTTTGTCACCTGTGTCCTACACACCTTTCTTTAAACTAATTAAGCCAAGTTAAAACTTCCTGTCTATCTAAATTTAGCCTGGCTGTCACTTGAGCTTCACCAAGATGGGGGGGGGGAGGAAATCACAACATTCAGGTTTATCATAATTTTCTTAACAATTACCTGAATACATCTTCCATCTATTTTTACCCTAGGCCTCAAATCTAAGTACAGTCTGTTACAAGTGTGGGAACAAGTTCCCACAGAACACAGAGAGCCATGATTTTAATCAAGTTTATTATGGACAAGTAGTGTACAGTTCTGTCTATCACAGAAGAATGACTTAGACACTGTGTTTGTTACTGCCAAGAATTCCACAACACAAAACCCATGCATAAAGACAGCTGAAGCTGGATTACCTGGAATATGCTATGACAGCTGAGGTTACTTAAAAGCTTTTTGTTTGCATCCTACATGAAGTGTTTCACAGAACAGCTGATCACTATGCCAAATTGATTTCAGATTTAAGAGGAAGCTAGAGCAAATACCTAAGCCATTACTTTCTCTTTCCGTGAAACACTTACTTACAAACACACACATACAGGCATACTGATTTCAATGGATGAGGAGTAAGGTAAAAGAACAGAGAAGATGCTGAAGTACTTAAACCTACCTTGATGCTGCGAAGAAGCTTGTGACCTGATAACCAAAACTGGCATAGTATGCATGTTCCATAATAGCCATCAGCTGGACACAGTTATATCCTATGAAAATAGAAGAAATAAAACAAACAAACCCCTGCCTTAAGGATAGTTAAAAGAGGATTCAACACCTGTAACAATTCATTCCAGTCTTCTCTCATTTTAGCTGCTTTTAACTCTAATGATTAACAACAAAAGATTCAGTCTCTTTCAAGAAGTAATTCTACCTAATAGTTTATACTTACATGATCTTCCATTAAAAATGGAATGGTCAACTTGTCAAGTGGTCTACATATAACTAGGATTAGTTATTTCCAAACTCAGATTTGGAAAGCAGTAAGTGATATGCAAATATAATCTTAATTTAACTTCAGAATATTAACTATGCCAATCTGCATGTCCTGAACTTCCGCTTCACTTTTGACACTTGCAGTCAGGGTGTGCGGGGATAGTCACTGGCTACACGTACTATACCTTATGACCTATGGAATCTTTGTTTTACCACTTCAAAAACACTTTTTTCCAACTTTAATGATTACATTTCCCCCTCTGCAAGAGTCTTTCAAAAAAGAGAAAACACAAGAGTAATGTGTTTTTTTAATGTGTCCTGAGTTTACCAAAGAACCGAGGAGTACAGTACAGGAGGATCAGAGACACGCTGTCTCATGTATCACCTAAGATAGTTCAGTGCAATATTAAGGGAGGGAAATCTAAAGGGAAAACAACATACTAATGGTGAAGCCACAGTACTTGCCACACATCTTAACTAAAGCTATCTTCAATATCAGTGAATAAGTGCCCCAGATAGCTAGCAAGTGAGGACTATCAGCAAAAGGTAACCTTCAGGTTTAATCTACAGTCTGTTGAGACTCCCACCACCGCCACTTCTCTTTATTAATTTCACCAAAAATCTTCACTTCATTCTTTAGTTTAGACAAGGTACTGGTTTCTTTTTTATTTTCGTGCTTTTGTTTTTAAATTTCACAGCTATAAAAGAGTTATTATTAGAAGATAGTTGGCATAAGCTCAGCAATTTGTCAGATTCATTGCTGTTTTATAATTCAGGCTCATTGCACTTACTCTTATTTACAGCATTTTTATAAATAAACAGCAACACAGCATCAAATTAATCTCATTTTATTTGCTTGCTATTTATTTTGCTATTTGTCATGCATGTATTTCTACAAACTATTAATATCTTAGCATTCTTAAATACTGACGTCTTTAAGCTTGTCTAACAAGTAAGACATCACAAAACCAAATCTAATAGCCCTTAAAAATACATTTAAAAAAAAAAGACTTAATTCCCCCAGTGTTTATGTAATGTAAATAAGAATGAACATTATTTACCATTTCTGTATACCCTAACTAAACTTGATATTGCTTTTATTTTGTGGTGTATCAGCCTTTTCACGACATTTCTCCTCCCCAAAGAAAAATCTGTAGGTAAAGCAGAAAGCCTTCATAATTCTGTTAAACATATTAGCCTCCTGGAACAACTGAAATTCTTTGGCAGTAAGGAAAAAGTCACAGATACATAATGTGGAATCCAAATTTACTCTTTGTTGAGGGCCTCCAGATGTGCAAAGTCCCTCACCTGCAAGCTCAACCTTATTGAAAGGCAAAAGCCACACTGTGAAACACTGACTCAACAAGTGAACCTACAAAAAAACCATATGGCTTCTTCAGGCACTCTGATAAATAAAAAATAATAATAATAAAAAAAAAAAATCAAACAACACATAAGCACAGCCGCCATCCGCAGAGGTCTCAGCCATGGATGTCACAATTATTTTATAGTTGAGTGTAACAAACCATATTTCATCACAGGGCAGTAAAAGCCAGCAAGTTCTTATATTGTTCATTATAGAAACAGTGCAGATACCACAGGAAAAAATAATCATCAAATAGAAAATGAGGTGAAGTTTTGCTATGCTTCCTGAGATAATCATGCCAGCTGTTTTGTACATCCCCTCCAATATACTACAAGTTCTTTTCTAAAAGAGGATTTCTCACATTTAAAGTTTCCATGTTCTGATACTTCATAGCAACTGTTCAGGGACAGAAAATTTAGCACGCTTATTCTGGCAAACAGAAAGGACAATCCTTTCTATCCACATATTTCTTTGTCCTTCCTTAGAATCAAGATTTACATTAGTAGAAACAATTAAGAACACAGTATTTTCTGAAGACTCTCTCACAAAAATGGGTCCTTTTTCAAGTTGAAAGCAAACCATGCCAAAAGCAAACTGCCCTGCAATATTTATCTGGGCTTTTGCAATCACATTTTACTTAAAAATCTGTGGAATGGATTTTGATTCACATATCCTATCTCAGTCTTCGTTTCTTCTCCATAGATTTCACTTGTTTATCATTTTTGCTGCCTTAAGAATCTATTTTTATAGTACATGTAATCTGAAAACACAAAAAACCTATAGACACTTGATAATTTTCTAATAAGAGCACAGGCACATAAAAATTTTATCTCCGCAAGTATCTGTTATTACTTACCAAGATCCTTTATTCTAGGTAGTACATTGTACGTGAAGTTTTTATAAGAAGCTACTTTCCCTTCTGGGGAAGCAATCCCCACATGAGATTCATAGATTCTTAGGCTTTTTAATCTCTTGGGGGAAGGATGCTTATGCTATAAGGAAAAAAAACAGTTGTCGTTAGGATGCAACAGCTTAGAAGTGTTGCCACACTCACATAATTTGCACAAGATGAAAAACAATTTAAAGTTTGTTTTGTTTTTCCTCTAAAAGCACAAACATTTCAGAAGTAATTAAGCATTCTAAACTGTTAAAATAAATGCCTATTTCAAATTAGCATTATTCATGAACAAGAAACTGGACATCCATGATCCAACACTTTTCTTATACCCCTTTTAAATTACACTGAAGTGTACAAACTTATAGTAGCCATTGTACTATAAAGTTCTTCTGAACTACTATGAAGCTTCTTTGAAAATAAAAGACAATAGAAAAATAGGGTTTTATTTTTTAAGCATACCTGCTTTTTGCAGGTATTTGAAGTTGTTCTGCCTTCCCCAAACTACAATTTATAAATATTTTAGTCCTAAAGAACACAGTTCCACAGCACAGAATCATCTATATTCCAGTTACTTAGGATTTAAAAAAAACGCCAAGTTTGTAGGTGAGTACATGGTATTTCTAGATGGGTGAAAATATTTAATGAATACAGAGGCAATTGAAGTTCAGCACAAAACCTCCTCCTTACACTTGAAGAAGAGCATACACTTGATCGGGATTTTACTTTTTAAAATAAAAGTCTTCTCTGAAGAAACTTAGGAAAACTACTGCTTAAAGCCTATTTTTCCCCCAAAGTTTTTTCTTTTCCTCCCTCTCCCAATTAAAAAAAAAGTTACAAGATTTTATATTCTATTTGTTAGTTTAATATTTAACTGAAGTTTTGAAAAGTTAGAACAAAACCAGTAAACACACACACGTACGTGAACAGTGAAGAGAAATTAGAAGGACAAATGTGAAGAACAAGAAGTTCTGATTGAGGTTTATTCCCTGTATTTTACTTCCACTGAGCACCTCTCCTATTCATAAAAGGATTCAATTTTTTTTTTCTGACTTAACTCAGTAAGGCCTTGCCTACATCCTAAGTGTCCTCGCCTCCTTTTCACTCTAGGTCATACAGATCACTACATTTCCAATTACCTCCCTATTCCCCTTCTTATAGAGAATCTAGGTGTCACACAGCATCATAGATACAGGGTAGGTCACTAAATTCATATGAACTATGCACCTAAGTAAGAAAGTTATTGTAGGTTATGTAATTTTTTTTTTTTTTAAGAATTTCCATGTGAGTTACCCTTTCTCTGTCAAGCAGATGCTTCATAATTTGAGGTGGGTGCTAAAATTTAACTCAAAACAGGGTTGCAACACCTCTAATACAGAATACTGCATATCTTTTTTTAGTGAAAACACCGAAAAGTGTAATAATATTAAACAACATCACTCAGACAGTCTGAAGCTTCTGAATGTTCTCCTAGGATATTTTTCATATATCATGTAAAGAGTTCCCCCCCCCTTATAGCAGTGCATGAGAAATAAGAGGGCTTTAAAATCAATAAATGGATTTTCCTGATACGAAGAAACTAGGATTTGACTAGAGTGTGAGCACCTTACTTTTGAAAGCTTTTTCTGACTTCATACAGCACTGGCTTATTATTGGAGTACTGAACTTTGTATTTGCGGCTAAGTAATTCTTAAACCCAATTCAGGTAATTCCCTGCTCTCCTCTGTACCAGGAAGGGCCACCTAGTCCTGGAATAGTTATTGAGCTTGCCTAGCATGTGGGAAGCCAAGGTTATAATACCACTTTAATGGGTAACTATTTTTTATATATTCTATAGGAGACTGAAAAAGTAGCTCAAAAACATCCATCAAAGTCACTTGTTTCTGTCAAAGCCATGAATAAAAACTTCTCAGGTAGCTACTAACTAGTTCGCTACCCTCTTTGTGGAACAACTTTTTTTTTTTCTTCCAAGCAGGGATACAAAGATGACACGATACACGGTTTTATACACTTTTTGTAAATAATGTTTAAGCCTTACTATATACGACTGTGGGGGATTCCAGTGTACCCAATCATAATTCACTTTGTCTTCATCACGGACTACATATCTTGCCCAAGGTGAAATACGATAGAGGAGTTCGCCATTTTGAGCACGAATCACCACCTATAAAATAACCACAACATACGCATGCAGTCACATATAATTCATAACACCTCCTACGTAAACCATAGTGGAGAATGAAATAGTACGTTACACAGAAATTTAATTTAAAGAACACACAAATATACAATGCAGGTCAAGACAAGGAAGAATGACCCTGTTCACAGAGATGATTTGCAAAGGGATAGCAAACCAGGCACGTCAGACACAGGAGTGATGTTCATGAGCAGGAGCTGAAAGGTGAGGATATATATGTAAGCTTCATACAAGTAATGGGAGAAAGAGCCTTCCCAAATGGATTACTGTTAGGTTCTCTAGTTTCCCGTCGTTGCTATTTCCCTGACACATTCTTATAAATTTAATTAGCCATGCAGTATAACACCATCAAGATGAGAACTGTGATTTGCTTACTTCGCAAACAATCTAGTAAGCCAATTTTAATATCTTAATTCCCTCTTCTTTTCTACGCTCTGTGAGTCCTGACTGATATCATATAGACCAGAACCACAGATCAACACAAGCAGCACAGGACAGCTTTCAGGTCAAGAAGAGGGAAAAGAGTGAAATTGAGATTGCTGGGTTTCTTCTGCTGCCTTTCAGTTTCTCTGGATGCCTTCATCATTCTAATGATAAGTATTATCATCTGTTTTACTTTCCATATTTGGTTTCCTCTGTTCTATAACAAGAGATGAAAAAGGACCACTCTTTTCAATTCCTTCAAAAAGCTCATAAAACTTCACTTCACCAGAAAGAGTGACCAAACACAACAAACCTAGGAGCTCTTTTGGAGTATTATAATTTTACACAAAAGCAAAATTGAAATAATTACTAGGATAATGTTGTACTGGGACCTTGCAGATGACATTGTATTTGAGGAGTTGGTGATCTTGAACAGGCCAGCTCCGCTCTATTGAGTAATTAATGTAATCTGTAACTTATAAAATACCCTTGGGAAAGGATATGAGAATCAAGGGGTGCAAGGTAGTGTTGCTGACTGGGAGAGCGTTGCACATTTAGGAGCTAGGGACAACAGGTCCATGCTGTGCTGCACATGTCCCTTGGCTGCAGGACCACCTCAGCCATCTCAGCATAACGGAGGGGCCTGCAGGCAGCTCCCCCTTGGTACTGGCCACTACGCCACCTGCATGGCCTTGCCTTTGTCTAAAAGTGCAGCAAGAACATCTTATGAGACCATGCCTTAGGAGTAGAGTTGTCTTCTTGTAAGGAAATTATATGCTAGCTTGAACGACCAGAAGGGAGATCCAAGGACAGGATCTGCTCCACGCAGCGTGCCGTGGGAAAATCTACCAGGGCACTGCCTAATGCCACACTAATGAAGGGTGCCCAACATTTGAAGCTGACTTGCTCATTATCAGTATTCCTCTTCTTAATTAAAGCAGTTATCCCATGAAGCCAATTGTTGTCAAGCCTTTCTTCTTGCAACGCAGAAAGAACACTACTCCATCTACATCACCTCACCCCACCCACCCCCCGCCTCAGTGCAGAAGGAACAGCACCACTCAAGTTTTGCTTGGTATTTTGGCTGCCATTAAAACGGTAACACAGAAAGTTTGTAAATTTAGAAACCAGAAATGTACGAGCAAGTGAAGTCCTGAAATTCTTCAGTCTGCTTTTTTTTTGTTTGGTTGTTTCTTTTGGAGGGCTTTTTTTTTTTGTAAGGAGAGCTATGAACATCATAAGAAGCCTCAAATGAAAAGGGGGATTGAGCTTCCCCCCCCCCCTCGTTATTTTATTAAAAAAAGTGATTTTTCTTTGCTCTGAATTCCTAACAAGTAGTGTGGAAGACAATAATCAAAGAATTGCCTTTTTCACCTGTGGCAACTGTCTTTCATTATTTTGATAGATTATCTGTATCCTTAACCCAACAACAGGAGAAAGAAAGATGAAAATATGTATACACAGTAGGTTAATGGAAGTCGGTAAAGCAAGGAAGTATGATTGCTGTGTCTCTCAGTGTATATTATTATAATTCTGACAACTCAGAACAGGTTTTGTAAGGAGTAATTGAGACTAACCACCTAATCAGAAAAAGCTGAGAAAGTTACTGAAAACACTGTACAGTTGCATGGAAAGTTTCTTCTGTCAACTGTGCTAGCAAAGCTGGCCAAAAGGGTATTTCTGCAAATTATATCAACACTATGAAGATCCTCCTCACTGACAGCATTGACAGTTTGCAAGTTACTCTTAAAATAATAAAAATTATCTCCTTTTTCTGATATCACACTTCTGATGATGCTATTGCTTGTTTTATTAATTTGTCCCAATTCACCCATCACAGAAATAAGATAATTACTGCATATAATAACCATACCTATCTACTCATGTTAGCATTCCTTTTTCTCTAGTATTCTAGTGTAATTTATACTATGCAGGCTTATGAGGGGTGGGCACATTTTATTTTAAGATGTCATGGTTTAACCTCAGTTGGCAACTGAACACCACACAGCCGCTCACTCACTCCCCCCGCCCCGGTGGAATGGGGGAGAGAATTGGGAGAGTAGAAGTGAGAAAACTCATGGGTTGAGATAAGACAGTTTAATAATTGAAATAAAATAAAATACTACTACTACTAATAGTAGTAATAATAATAAGAATAAGAATATACAAAGCAAGTGATGCACAATGCAATTGCTCACCACCCATCAACCGATGCCCAGCCGGTCCCTGAGCAGCGGTCCCCCCCGGCCAGCTTTCCCCGGTTTAGGTACTGAGCATGACATCACACGGTATGGAATGTCCCTGTGGCCAGTTGGGGTCAGCTGTCCTGGCTGTGCCCCCTCCCAGCTTCTTGTGCACCTCCAGCCTTCTCGGTCGGTAGAGCATGGGAAGCTGAAAAGTCCTTGACCAGTGTAAGCACTGCTTAGCAACAACTAAAACATGGGTGTGTTATCAACATTGTTCTCATCCTAAATCCAACACACAGCACTGTACCAGCTACTAGGGAGAAAACTAACTATCCCAGCCGAAACCAGGACAAAGAAATATGAGGGAATTAGTCTAAATTCAGAACATTATTTAATTAGATGTAGTACTGGTTTAATCCAAAAGATGATACTGGAGGGGAAAAAAGAAAAAGTTTATTTATTATGAAATACTAAAGCCAGTCATCCATACTCTTTAATTTAATCCATCAAGCAATGAAAAACACTTAAAAACAGAGATTAGAAACACATTTAAATGAGCAACCAGTTATTTCACTTTTTTAAAACCCACACTTCTACAGTTGTGCTGCATGTGTTAATTAACCATATCTCTGCATCCTGTCCTTCTGAAATCATGTAAGAACTTTTGTTGTTCCGTAGTCATTCAGCTCAAATTGACCATATTTTCCCTCATTTCCGAGGCATCAGTGCACTTGATTTACCAGCTTTTCAGAAGTAATTTTGTTTAAGTACAAGTTTTGCTTTTATTCAAAGCATCTATCAGGTCAAGTTTATTGGTTAGACTTTTCAGGAACTGAGAGACTTTCACAGCAACTTGTACAAGTTCCTACCAAATTTCACAGCCAGAATTCTAATAGCTACAAATAAAACTTCCGAGAAGCAGGGGCATACATGTATTTGTCATATATTATGACAGTAACAATATAGAGCCATAAACAGGCGGCGCTAGTCTACCACTTTCTGCAAGGGTTGGGTTTACACACTTAACAGTCTTAACAGACTTAGAGTCTGCTCTATTTTAAGGTTCACAATCTAAATTTCTGGTTTTCATTTTAGAACTTAACTTTCAGTTTTATTATGCAAAGATACACGAAACCTCCCATGTTCTGAAGAAAAGGATACATTTATCCAACAATAGAAGTCATACAATTTAACCATGCAAATGTCAGAAAAAATCTCTAAAAAAGTGGGGGGAGCACTTGTTTTAAACAAGCATTCAGAAAATTTATTTGTTGCCTTCTTCACAGTGTAGGTTATCTTAAGGAATATTTTCCAAATATATCCAGCCATGGCTGTATCTGGTTGAACCTCACCATAACAGTAGAAACCTCAGTTTTGCTCATGTGTTGCTGTCATTTTTGAACATCGTGAGCTGTGCACAGAGAAAGCATAGTCAAGAGAAACATAGCTAACCCAGAAGAGGAAACTTTACAACACTAAAGCTGGTAAAGTTGAATCCTGTTCTTCTCTGATTTACAAAAGCATAATGAACATAGTTTCCTTAGACCTCTATCAAGTGATCCCTAACAATTTCAATTCTTATCTCCTATGCTTGCTTAACCCTTTTCTTAGTTTTACGTGAATCCAATTTACTGAATCTTTCCTTAATTACCAAGCTCTATACTGAACTTCTTATTCCTCTCTCCTGATATTGTAGAAAGTTGATTAGTAAGTTACAAGCAGAAAGACTTCAGATAATATTTTCTAAAGTTTCTTGAGACAGAACTCCCACACCATCATGCTTAGCTGAGGCATGAGCAAAAGAAACTCCAAAAAGTTGAATGGCACCCCAAAACAAATAGCAATTCAGCCCAAGACTGACAAAAATAACTCTAATGGAAGCAGTCCAACAGCTTTCATTCCCATATTTGCTTTGGCATTTCTTGAAACAATTAATTACAAATAATTAAGAAGTTGTAATAAAAGGAGTAATAACAAAAGCACACACGTAAAACTGAAAGACAGATAAACAACTCTTGCTCCACCCACCCCAAACTATTACTTGTGGTCCATTCTCTGCAGTGTTCAGATACAAAGAGTAGCTGCCATGTATACTCTGCACCTGCTGCTACATGTTATATATGCATATAGAATACTGAATATAGTCATTACACAGCCCTTTTGACAAAGTACCTATGAGTCTACTTAGCAGATACTGTACTTTTGCTCCAAATTTGGGTTTTTTTTTTACTCATTTCAAACTAATTCTTAAAAGTTATGATGCATAACCTAAGCTAGCTACCACTTAGTTCATCAGCATTTTAAAGCTGAGCTTACATTTTTTAATTAACGCAACAATCTTCTCTAAAGAACATATAT